GTTTTCATCATATGGTACACATGAATGTTGACGTGCACTATTTTCATCATATGGTACACATGAATGTTGACGTGCATCATATGGTACACATGAATGTTGACGCGCACTGTTTTCATCATATAGTACACATGAATGGTGACGTGCACTGTTTTCATCATATGGCACACATGAATGTTGACGTGCACTGTTTTCATCATATGGTACACATGAATGGTGATGTGCACTGTTTTCATCATATGGTACACGTGAATGGTGACGTGCACTGTTTTCATCATAAGGTACACATGAATGGTGACGTTTGTGACGACATATGTGATAATTGTCTAAATTTTGGATTTCAAGGGTATCAACACTTGAACTACGTGTATCCAAATTTACTTCACATAACCCGATGTACATATATTTTGTGTAAAGTGAATATTTATCTAATTCTGTAATTATATTGGCATCAACTATTTGGTTCATTTTTGTTTAGTTTTGTCTGCAATCTTGATTTGTAATTGTTTTTACCGACAAGCTATTATTTGAAAAAAACATGTGACCCTTTGCGTGTCGGTTCCACGCACCTTACAGTCCGCTCATCGTGAATTTTCTGCCGTATTTTATTGTTGATTGGTCGCAGGACTTTGATCAATCCACCCTGTCATGGAAAAAATACAATACGCTAGATTTACATGGAGTACCAATCATGAATACAACGGGCTGTTACAGAGGGCATGATTTATTGATTTAGTTCTCTGAATTCAATAATAGCCAACGGTTACTAAATTACTTACCACGTGACTATTAGACGGCCACTGTGATTGGGAGATAGTTTTCCCATACTGTGTTTCCCTGTGTGAGTGAGAAATACATGTAAATATACACTGTATGTGCATTCACCATTACATATACGTAAAATACTAGTAAAGAATAGGTGTAACGTAAATAAATAAATAAAAAAATAAATAACGTAATGTATTTGGTGGTATGTTTGTAACGTTATTATTAACAGATATTCTAACGACTAGCAACAATTGTTAATTTGAACGACATTGTACGGTGTACGTGTGTTCCTGTTCGTTTAGTGCACATTGGCATTATCTTGAGACTATGGTGATACGTACCGACATGGATTTTTGCAGCTGCTTGACAACAAGCCACGTTGATAGAGAAACTTCATGAGTTGTCGACATAATTCTGAAAAATAATTTCACTGTGAAAACGCATCTACTACAAAAGTCATTCGTGCCAAAACAGCAATATATGTTTTAAATGTATTTGAAATGTATTCACAACAAAATCTCAATTTAAGTATATGAGAAACGCAGTAAAATTTATTAAAAATATGTTTTGTCTTGATAAATAAGTTACAAAAATGGCTATATATACTATATATTTTCAGAAACTCGTTATAACATATATTTATCTTATGCAACAGAACAATCTACAAACAGGATTTTTAAGTAGAAGTTCAAAAACAAATATGCCATATCAAGAATAAATATTCTGACAGCAGAAATCCTGGCAACTAATTACTGCAACGTTACAAAACATTACCCATTATTCAGCTTCGTTAATTCGGTATAAATTGATGTGTTTTACATACTTTTTACACCACTTCCAATGTTACCATTCATCCCTCTTGCGACAACCACTCCCATACATCGTCCTAGGTCCCAAATTGGTGGACCCGTAAAACAACAAATGACACCAACAGGAGCTCCATACACCGCAAACATAGATAGCTTGTTTGAGTTGATCCACTTGAGTGCAAAAAACGAATGCTCGCAGGGGTTGGATGTTCTCAATATATGTCTGCAATCGGGGTTGTACTAAACTTACATTGCGTCCGCAATAGGGGGTATATTTTGCCAATGTGCTGCCAGCCCTGGGGCCTATATTTTTTTAGCAAGAAAGCACATGGTCGTGAATCACCTATTTTGCTCTTCCAATGTTATCCTGCATCTGGTACCATCCATATATATAGTGTCAACACACTAGAATCACCTACCTTGCTCTGCTCATCCAATGTTATCTTGCATCTGGTACCATCCATATGTATTGTATCAACACACTGGAATCACCTACCTTGCTTTTCCAATGTTATTCTGCATCTGGTACCATCCATATGTATTGTTTCAACACACTGAAATCACCTACCTTGATCTTCCAATGTTATCCTGCATCTGGTACTATTCATATGTATTGTATCAACAAACTGGAATCACCTACCTTGCTCTTCAAATGTCATCCTGCATCCGGTACCATTCATATGTATTGTATCAACACTCTAGAATCACCTACCTTGCTCTTCCAATGTTATCCTGCATCTGGTACCATTCATATGTATTGTATCAACACACTAGAATCACCTACCTTGCTTTTCCGATGTTATCCTGCATCTGGTACCAGCAATATGTATTGTATCAACACACTATAATCACCAACTTTGCTCTTCCAATGTTATCCTGCAACTGGTACCATTCATATGTATTGTATCAACACACTGGAATCACCTACCTTGCTTTTCCAATGTTATCTTGCATCTGGTACCATCCATATGTATTGTATCAACACACTGGAATCACCTACCTTGCTTTTCCAGTGTTATCCTGCATATGGTACCATCCATATGTATTGTATCAACACACTGAAATCACCTACCTTGCTCTTCCAATGTTATCCTGCATCTGGTACCATCCATATGTATTGTATCAACACACTGGAATCACCTACCTTGCTCTTCAAATGTCATCTTGCATCTGGTACCATCCATATGTATTGTATCAACACACTAGAATCACCAACCTTGCTCTACCAATGTTATCCTGCATCTGGTACCAACCATATGTATTGTATCAACACACTGGAATCACCTACCTTGCTTTTCAATGTTATCCTGCATCTGGTACCATCCATATGTATTGTATCAACACACTGAAATCACCTACCTTGCTCTTCCAATGATATCTTGCATCTGGTACCTTTCATATGTATTGTATCAACACTCTAAAATCACCTACCTTGCTCTTCAAATGTCATCCTGCATCTGGTACCATCCATATGTATTGCATCAACACACTAGAATCACCTACCATGTCCTTCCAATGTTATCATGCATCTGGTACCATTCATATGTATTGTATCAACACAATGGAATCACCTACCTTGCTCTTCCAATGTTATCCTGCATCTGGTACCATCCATATATATTGTATCAACATACTAGAATCACCTACCTTGCTCTTCCAATGTTATCCTGCATCTGGTACCATCCATATGTATTGTATCAACACACTGGAATCACCTACCTTGCTCTTCCAATGTTATCCTGCATCTGGTACCATCCATATGTATTGTATCAACACACTAGAATCACCTACCTTGCTATTCCAATGTTATCCTGCATCTGATACCATTCATATGTATTGTATCAACACACTAGAATCACCTACCTTGCTCTTCCAATGTTATCCTGCATCTGGTACCATTCATATGTATTGTATAAACACACTGGCAACACCTACCTTGCTCTTCTAATGTTATCTTGCATCTAGTACCATCCACATGTATTGTATCAACACACTGGCATTCCTGACGGATGTGTATGTGCATCATTGTTTTGTGGCATGCCTTTAAAAGAATAAAAGCGAATCATTAAAACTCTAATCTATGTGTTCCTATCACAAAGGCAATACTTCTTTTAACAACAAGATCAAGATCTCTCCTATATAATTGATTGGTTGATTCACATGGGAGACCCCTCCTAACATCCCTCAATAACAGACAAACATACAGATTGAGAGAAAGCTTACCAAATCTGAGTATGTATAACCATTGCCGTATATAGTATCAAAAACTTGGTTGTCACTACAATTTGTGTATGGTGTACTTGGTTGTTGGATTCCCTCCTAAAAATAGAAGTTTATTAGATTAAACTAACTTTAAAACAAATCACGTGATGACATGACACAGTCCACGTTGTTTAGATATTTCTGCAAAATGCTTGATATATACTAGATAAAAATATGATTAAAATCAAGTCAATGTATGTCAGAAATATGGATCACGAGTCTTAGACAAATGACGTACATGAAGGTAATATTGTGATCCATGTATCTAACAAGTTCAAACAATGCACATGCGCAGAATGGCAACAATACTTGATTTTGGTGCATTTAACATAGCCGTGAGATAAATGCATGTATATTGTCAGCATCCTTTATTCTATGTTTTTGTCATATTACCTCAAACTCTGCAAATAAAAGTGTGCATGTAATCATGGGAGGTAACATGGTGCTCATGTGGAAACCAATGAGGTGTACCTGAAATTTGCCTATAAATAGGCTAGACAGAGGACAGTTGTGGTCCATCATTTCAACTGTGTACCCTGTGTGTAGCTACTGCGATATTGTGAGTCAAGTGATACAGGCTTCAACCATCATTCTGTAAGACATGTATGAACTGCTTTGCAATATCGTGCTTTCAGTGGTGTCCTCCAGAATAACAGCATTCCTCTGCAAGCAAGACTCCTGTATTTCTTTACTGTTGTGTTGCAGAAGCCTTTGACTTTCATCCATTTCTGCATCCTGGAATTATTCAATGTATTTTTCTGTGCTTTGTTTCTTGTAATTATTGTTGAGAGGTATTGAAGCCAGGTGCTTTAACTCAATATTTTGGTGTATGTGTATTTCATTCCCAGTACTATTTTCTTGTCTACCCCATGAAAGAACCCCTTGTCCAGTGTGAATTATTTGGGTGGCCCTCTCAATTGCTATATGCAGGCCTTACACTGTGACATATATCATGACAAAATGCATACATCTAGATTCAGGTGAAGATTCTGGAAACATGGTTCATCGTGTTTTGACTATAATCAACATGGCCACTGAACGCGATTATCCACGATGATGACTACAATCGACGAAGATAGATCATGAATGGAAAATTGAGGTAGCCATGGATGACAGAAAAACGGTCTTCAATTTGATGGACATAACGCAGTCATGGATGGCTGTAATACAGTCTCCAATTGGAAGGTCTTAACGCGGTCATGAATGGCTGTAACACGGTCTCCAATTGAATGGTCTTAACGCGGTCATGGATGGCTGGAATACAGTATCCAATTTGATAGTCATAACGCGGTCATGGATGGCTGTAATACAGTCTCCAATTTGATGGTCATAACACGGTCATGGATGACTGGAATACAAATACCAATTTGATGGCCTTAACAATGTCATGGATGTCTGCAATATGGTCTCCAATTTGATGGTCATAACGTGGTCATGGATGGCTGGAATACATTCACCAATTTGATGGCCATAACGCGGTCATGGATGACTTGGAATACGAATACCAATTTGATGGCCTCAACACGGTAATGGATGGCTGGAATACAGTCTCCAATTTGATGGCCATAACGCGGTCATTGATGACTGGAATACAAATACCAATTTGATGGCCTTAACAATGTCATGGATGTCTGCAATATGGTCTCCAATTTGATGGTCATAACGTGGTCATGGATGGCTGGAATACATTCACCAATTTGATGGCCATAACGCGGTCATGGATGACTTGAATACAAATAGCAATTTGATGGCCTCAACATGGTAATGGATGGCTGGAATACAGTCTCCAATTTGATGGTCATAACGCGGTCATGGATGACTGGAATACAAATACCAATTTGATGGCCTTAACAATGTCATGGATGTCTGCAATATGGTCTCCAATTTGATGGTCATAACGTGGTCATGGATGGCTGGAATACATTCACCAATTTGATGGTCATAACGCGGTCATGGATGACTTGAATACGAATACCAATTTGATGGCCTCAACATGGTAATGGATGGCTGGAATACAGTCTCCAATTTGATGGCCTTAACGCGGTCATGGATGGCTGGAATACAGTCTCCAATTTGATGGTCATAATAATGTTATGGATGTATGGAATATGGTCTCCAATTTGATGATCATAGCGTGGTCATGGCTGGCTGGAATACAGTCTCTAGTTTGATGGTCTTCCCCTGGTCATGAATGGCTTGAATACATTCACCAATTTGATGGCCATAACGCAGTCGTGGATGGTGAGTATACAGTCTCCAATTTGATGGCCTTAACACGGTCATGGATGGCTGGAATACAGTCTCCAATTTGATGGCCATAATGCGGTCGTGAATGGCTGTAATACAGTCTCCAATTTGATGTTCTTAACAATGTCATGGATGTCTCGAATATGGTGAGTATACAGTCTCCAATTTGATGGTCTTAATGCGGTCATGGATAGCTTTATTACGGTCTCCAATTTGATGGCCTTAACACAGTCATGGATGGCTTGAATACAGTTGTCATGATTTATATTTCAATGTGTTTAGATGAGGCCGCTTTTTGCAGCTATGGCAACTTTCACTGGTGACCCCTGGATACTCCACACCTGCTCGTAACTTGTCATGATCAGGTTCATTCGTATGTTAGGGAATTAGTAAATGAAACAACTGGCTGATACAATTGTCAACTATGGATGTTGTTTTAGCCCTTGTGGCGTCTATAACTGTAGAAGTTATTCCCGAGATTGGGGGCAATTAATCAGACATTATGTCATGTTAAATACTGTGTGTGATTGGCTATATGTGTGAAGGCCACACCTCGAGCTCTTAAACTCCCTTGTAATTGGCTAAGAGTTGGAGAAGTGAATAAAGCTTATTTCAGTTAGTTTTGCTCACCACGAGGCACGCAGTGTTGACACGGTCTTAAGAGAGTTACGACGTGGCTCTGTGTGTCTTTGTTCGATTGAAAGGATGGCGAATCCTCCGATCACTGGTAACTGACGTGAAGGTTTAATAATACGATAATTAAGCCATCACACAGTCTCCAATTTGATAGTCGTAATGCGGTCATGGATGGCTGGAATATGGTCACCAATTTGATCGTCTTAATGGGGCCATGGATGGCTGGAACACAGTCTCTAATTTGATGGCCATAGCGTGGTCATGCATGGCTGAAATATAGTCTCCAATTTGATGGTCATAATGTGGTCATGCTTGGCTGGAATACAGTCCCCAATTTGATGGTCATAACGTGGTCATGGATGGCTGGAATACAGTCTCCAATTTGATGACCATAATACGGTCATGGATGGTTGTAATACAGTCCCCAATTTGATGATCATAACGCGGTCATGGATTACAGCAGTACAGTCCCCAATTTGATGGTCATAACGTGGTCATGGATGGTTGTAATACCGTCCCCAATTTGATGGTCATAACTAGGTCATGGATTACAGCAGTACAGTCCCCAATTTGATGGTCATAACTAGGTCATGTATTACAGCAGTACAGTCCCCAATTTGATGGTCATAACTAGGTCATGGATTACAGCAGTACAGTCCCCAATTTGATGGTCATAACTAGGTCATGTATTACAGCAGTACAGTCCCCAATTTGATGGTCATAACTAGGTCATGGATTACAGCAGTACAGTCCCCAATTTGATGGTCATAACTAGGTCATGGATTACAGCAGTACAGTCCCCAATTTGATGGTCATAACTAGGTCATGGATTACAGCAGTACAGTCTCCAATTTGATGGTCATAACGTGGTCGGGGATGGTCTTAATACTGTAATGGATGGCTGTAACACGGTCTCCAATTTGATGGTCATAACGCGGCCATGGTTGGTCATTTGTAATGTTGTAATTGATATGTCCATTTTGGCCAAAAACTGTATATTTTGTTCATAAATGCTAATTAGCCTTGACAATGGCCAGTAACCATAGAAAATCGTGGTTAAGCTTGATTGCTCACATTCAGCGGCCGCTGTTTCATTTTACAAAAAAAACACTGCATGGTAAAGAAAAGTCTTTTTTCCTTAATTAATGACGCCATTTCATTTTTGTTATTATGCTATTATGTCCACATTTCATGGTCGTTTTTTCATTGATCATGAACTAACATGATCTGCTCATGGTGGTCAAATTGTTGCCAGTAAAATTGCTATATGTGATTGCAGTAAATTTGTCCTAATCAGAGGTTTGAGACAAGGGTGCATACGAACGAAGCGACGCATGGACGCAAGCACAGATTTGAAACTAATAAAGATACATAGAAAACCTATACAACTTACTTGACGCAGGCCAATTGATGTTTTCAGTCCTGGTGCCACAGTTATTCCTTCGTCTTCTGGGAACGGTGTGATGTCAGAAGGATGTATCAGAACACGCACCCCGGCCTCCTGTCCATATAAAGGAATATACTCATCTTGCTCAATGAATAAAGTCAACTTGAGTCCTGCAATGTAGTACAAGGAATATACGCATAGAAGATCAGAACTGGTGAATACTAAACACAATTTAAGTTTACTACACGTTTTTCTTCAAGTAATCTTAACAGAACATGATAATATGCATCTTTTACAAAAATACAATTGGAAATGGTCGACAAAAATAAACACCAAAAACTCAAACCAGACATAGACTTGTCGACCCGAACGAGTGCGTGCAATTTAACTCGAACAGACTGAATTGGAAATATTGCCGTACCATATCTTGCTCCTGGTCTGTTTGAATTCTTGATCAATTCACCATTTTGAATCCCACTGTTGAATGTGAAACAGTTTCCATATTCGTCATTTTGAAAGACATGAAAATCTCTAGTTAGAAAGATAGAAACTTAGAGTGAGACTAATATAATACAATTATACTGCAGCAGGATACAAACAAACACACATCAATGACTACTAATTCAATAGCGTTTCACGTGGTTCTAATGCAAATTAACGTCTTATCTATTTACTTACCTATAGTCACATGTAATCCCATCGAAAGAACACTGTATTATAAAATCCTTAGCTTGGTGGCCATATTTATTAATTTCGCCCTTAGTTAATTTCAGAACGTTTTGTACATCACTGTAGTCCGACGAAGAACTGAACGACAAAAACCCTGAAATAAGAATATAATTTTAACAGGGAACTTTGACAATACAATATCAATACGACATTGTCGAATATCTAAACGACATAAACCCTCGGAAAATTATTATCAATATCGCACTGATGTACCCCCGAAAGGCAGGAACCCTAGACAAAATAACATCAATATAACACTTCCATAGAATTGAACGCCGGGAATGCTATATAATACAGTAGTACTATAACACTGGCAGATAAACAAACGAAACATTAAAACCCTAGACAATACAATATTAATCAACACTTCATAGAATTGAACGCCGGGAATCCTATTTAATAAAGTAGTACTATAACACTGGCAGATAAACAAACGAAACATTAAAACCCTAGACAATACAATATGAATCAACACTTCATAGAATTGAACGCCGAGAATCCTATGTAATACAGTAGTACTATAACACTGGCAGATAAACAAACGAAATATTAA